ACAAGATATATATATATATATATATATATATATATATATATATATATATATATATATATATATATATATATATATAAAACACAATTAAATGCATACATTTTGTACATGTTACAATGTTTCTAATTATTTAGTCGTAATTAACAAGATAAAAGTCCCAGCCCTAATATATAGATATTTGTTCCCATTAACATTTTCTTGTTCCAGTTGTCCTTGCTTGACTGGGTGACGTCAGCCAGTTTGATTCTATGTTTATTTGCTCTCATATTACGCGGTAGACAGATGGCCTTAATGGTCTTGCCCAATGAGCTACACTGGTTGATGTGATAAGCTTTTATATCACCCTAAGATATATAAGATGGGAACCCTGGTCTCCCTCATGGGAATGGTCCATTCCCGGAGCTCACACCAGTTAAGAATTAAAAGGAGCAAAGCGAGTGAAGGCAACTGTAGCCACTGTGGTCATCTGAGCCCTTGAGCAGTTTTTTTTTGTTAACATAATATTTGTGCACAGGTCAAACCTGCTGTTTGTTGAGCTTTACTGGCAGTTTGGATCAATGTCTGTTGACATTTGATAAAAAAAAAACAAATAATGGGTTTATTTAAACATATCACAATACTCCAGTCTCCATGAAAAAAAATCTCTTTTTTTAACAGTATATCTGGTTTAGTTCTTGTAGTCTGTGAATATACACAAATCTGTGACATTTTGATTCATTGCGAAATACTACATACGGTAGTTAAAAGCTTTGCTGCACAAAACACACTCATATATGATTAGATGAACAACAAAGGGCCCATGGTGTCCTTCAGTTGTACCTGCTGTGTCTGCATTCAAGGTAAAAACCTACAAAACGGTTTGATCAGTGGAGAGTTTGAATTCAAGGCTAACATTCATACATCAGGTCTTTAAAATAAATGCCCTTCATGTCCTTCGCCTGGAATCTAAACTGGGGGTGACATATGTTGTGTCTCATCCGCCTTTGGTTGGATTTCTGTGATTTTATACTCTAATCTAAAAGTTGGTCTTATTTAAGATATGCTCTTATGTGTCTTTCTTTATCAGTAACCAATTTGGATCCAAAAATTTATCTTAAATGACCAAAATTTGACAAGTTTGCTCCTTACCATAAATGCTTGAGGTACACACTCGTTGTTTGGATACAGCTAAGATGGTAATATATTATGCATGATCCTATCAAATTCCCTCAAAACATGTAAACTTCAATTAAGGCAGGTTTTTTTACATTTTTTTGCACCCTCTTGTAATGATTGCCGGTGCTGGTCTAAAGGACTGGTTATCCTCCTGCAGCAGTGTGTTGCAGCTTGTCACTGATATTTTTGATTTCTGCCCAATATTGAAGCGTGGTCTGCACTATGCTATTCCACGCCACAACGCCAGAGGGCCAATCAGGAACTAGCTGTGGGTCTAGATACGGCTGAGGCAGTGAGGAAGTGGGGGCGAGTTTGTGCGAAAACAGAGGGACATGAGGGCCAAAAAGAGCGGGGATCCAGGTGGGAAAAGTGTCACAATGTCCCACAATGTCCCATCTAACTCTGCCTGCGAGCGGATCTCAGCACTCCCTGCCCTCGTTCTCCTCAGTCTGGTTGGTGACCCAGCTGCTCAGCATTCATCACACCTGCCTCCGTTGGCCACTAACCTGTGTCTGTGCCTCCAGGGGTTCCAGTCTGAGCGTAAGCAGCGTGCCCTTTGCGCTAGCGCTTCCCTCTTTCTTTTTCAATAAGAGCTTGTAGATATATATATACACAATAAAGCTCGTCACTGACCTGTGACAAGTGTATCCCGTGAATTACACCTCCTTTGAAGCATGAAAATATTTTATGGCCCCCATCCAAACAAAATGGGTTCATATTAAATTGTTTTATGATGACTCTCTTCACTGATTATATAAAATTTATTTTGCAACGGTTTCTAACCTCCAAACATTTTAATAATACTGATGTGCTATCATAATAGATTTTAAATTAGATAATATGCTTTTGCCTTTAACCTAATCTTATAGAATAATTCCTGTTCTGACGGGAGCTTGGTACATCTACAGAAGAAGTCCTCAACTAGAAAGTTAAAAGCTTTTTGTTTACCGTATTTGTCTCAATGAATAGTTAAAAATACACTATAAATAAATAAATCATGGCAGGAAGTCATATTTCTGTAGATGTTAAGGGTTTTGTAGAACCTGTCGATATGGAAGTTAAAACCAAATTCCTATACAAACTTAAGGCAGTCCTTCATAAATGATTCTAATAACCATGATTTTTGGGCACATAGTGGTTCTCCCAGACTTTAAATGTCAGTTCATGTTTTTAGGACACGTTATTAGTAAAACTATTTTTTAGTGAATAAAATTGGAGAGAATAATCATGGTTTGCTTTATTCCTTGTTCCAGCCTTTGCTACACTACTTGATCTAGCATGAGTGATATTAAACTTTTAACCAGTGTAAAAGCTTTAAATCTTATCAAAAATTAGGTTCTTTCAGGTTGATCTAATCATGGCTCATCTGATCCACCTGTGTATGTTCCTTTATGTTTGGCTCAGCCTGGCTATCAGGGCCAGATCATTGTTTGATGTTTGTTTGTTTCTTTAGTTTTTGTTATTCCTAGCTTCATGTTCCCGTTCTCAGAGACCAGATCATTTAATTATATTTGTTTGATGTTTGTTTTTTCCGTAAGTTTGAATTCAAGGTTCATGTCCCCCGAGCCAGTGAGATTATTCACTAGCCAGTGGTGAGAGCGTTTCTGATTACCTGATCCTGCTCTTCCTCTCAACCACCGAGCCTGTTCCTGTCTGATCTGTTTGCCTGTGCTGTATTTGGACTCCTGCTGGATTCTGACTGTCTGAATCTGAGCTTGTCTGAATCTGAGCTTGTTGCTAAATGCTAGGAACTCTGAACCTGCCTTCACGCTCCGAGGATTCCTGGAACCATGGATCTGTCTGTTCCTGTGTGGATCAGAACCCCTGATCGGGCTGCAGACTCCTGGATTCCTGAACTGCCCTCTCTGATCTGTTTTCCCTGACCTGGATTGGATTCCTGCCTGCTCACTGGGGATGCTGCATTGGGGCGGCTCTGCGCCACAGCTGGCGGTCCATCAGCTGGCGGTCCATCAGCTGGATCCTGCCTTCCTCTGAGAGGATGGACTGAACTGTTAAACCAGGTAAGGGACTCACACGGATCACACTTACCTGTGTTTCTCACTCCAGACTGTCAGTGACTGGGAGGTCCAACCCCCCAAGCGCTTTATGTCGCTTTGCACCTGTGTGCCTGTACATAGGGGTCAAATCTGCCATCCGGTCAGGAAAAACATGGTTTGGGTGAGAATGCACCTTAAATGAAGTTAGCAATGAGTAAAGAATGGTTCCTATGGTTCTTCCATGTTTACATTTTAGTACTTAAATGATATGATTTATGCATTTGTTAACACAATGTTTCTTGTAACTCATTGAGGGCCAAAAAAAAAAAAAACAACCTGCAGTTTGTTGAGCTTTACTGGCAGCTTGGATCAATGTCTGTTAATATTTGGCAAACATCAAATGGAGTTGTTTAATCATACCAAAGTCCAACAGCTCTAAATGAAAACATATTCAACAAACTCTGTTTTTAGTTTATCAGAATTAGTTTCTACTGCATAAAACAGGATCATGACTGATGCATTAACATCAAAGGGCCTGTGGTGGTCTTTATTTTTATCTGGACACTGTGACATGTATCCAAGGTTAGGCCTAGAAAATATGGTTTGACACATAAAGTTTCTGATGATACAGTTTTAAATGAGGAGCGGATGAAAGCATCTGCATATCAATGTACAATTCTCAGACCTGCTGCAGAAAAAACATCTACTGTACCTGAATGCTGCCGCAGCTCTCATCACTTTATTAGGTCCAAATTGCAAAGCAAGAAAACCTCTTTTTGTAACTATGTATAATCCACCAGGCTAGGTCAGAGGGGTTAACATCCATGCTGACATTGAAGGCGATAGCTTAAGAGCAGCCTTTAAACTGCTGGTAAAGATTCTCAGTCATCCAGGTCATAGTCGGTCCAAACAGAGGTTAAAAACAATCCACTGAACTTTGTTTCCAAGTTTGAAGACGTTTCGCTTCCCATCCAGGAAGCTTTTTCAATTCAATTTAAAAAGCAACACAAGATCGTGTTTTACTATTATCAATAATTTCATTACAAATCTGAAAAATATAAATGTAAAAGAAAAAAAGCAAAGCATTGTTTTATAATGTGTGGGGAGTGTTGGCCTAGTGGTCAGAGCTGCGCTCTGTGCTCTGAGAAGGTTGCAAGTACACGATTCGAACCCACAGCCTCTGGGTCCCTGAGCAAGACCGTTAACCCCACACTGCTCCCCAGGCGCCGCACAATGGCAGCCACTGCTTCCTAAGGGGAGGGGTTAAGTGGAGACATAACTTTCTAAAATCAATTAAGTTAAATTATTATGATAAATGTTTTGATAAGGACGCCGCCATGTTGCTGTAATCTAAGCGGTGACATCATGTACATCATGCGGGTGGTTGATGCTTCAGCTACCAATTGAATACATTGGATATACTGGTGATATGTCACAATCATAAAACACTTAAAATATTACAACTTAAAACATTAAAACTTAAAACAACTTAATAAAAATATAATAGTAAGGATTATTATTATAATAATATTTAAAAACAATTAAGTCCCAATAACTGTGGTCTGGAATCAGATATAAACAAACAAACCTGGAGACCCTGTAGAAGTTTGGATAAAAACTTGACTTTTCTCAAACTGACTGCAAAGCAATAGCAGCAGACGTGGTTTGAGGCCTGTTTCACATAGATCTGTCACAACCAGATGATGCTGAAGACTCAAAGTTCTGTTATACAATTGCAGACGTTGGACTTTATCCACCAATATGGCTAAATAAATTCCATGCTATTTGACCTTGATGTAGAAATGTTTGCAAAGACCAGAGGCCATTTAGATAAATAGCCTTTCGGAGGCTCAGCTCAGTGGTACTTTCCACTCCACTAAAGCTTTTCTCCTGGAGTAAACATGAAGTCTCTCTTGCTTCTAGGCACAGTGCTGGTCTGTGGTCTGGTTGGGGCCCAGGAGACAATAGAGAGCCAGCTGCTGCAGATCACGGCCCGACTGGAGAAACTTGAAAGGGAATCTGAAGAGAGAGGTTAGTTTGCTAAGTTTGCTCTGCTCTTTTTTTAAGCCTACGTTACAGTTTTAGCACAAGGCCATCTTCCAGAATCTAATAATTGTTTTGACATTTTTGCGGTAAACAGATCTCAAGTAGCATTCTCAGCTGCCCTATACGATACGGAGGACTGGACCGACCCTGGGCCTTACATCAGTGACACAACGCTGCAGTTTAAGAAAGTGAAAACTAACATTGGCAACGCGTACTGTCCAGACACAGGTACATTTCATCCTTACTATCTGCAGTACGTTTACTGAGCAATGCATGTTGTAATGAGTGTAGTCCTGTACACAACAAAACAAATATAAAATAAACTTTCCTTTGGTCACTGTTGCACTGTATTGATAAAGTGTCTGATAGTTAGTTCCTTTATATATGTTAATAATAGTCTGTATTATTAATCTACTTTACTTTTTATAAACCTTCCCACATTAAGCAATATCCTATTAATAGGTCTGTTGTTATAATGTCAAATTATTAAATAATCAGGCAAGTATAGCTTAATACGGCACAGATTTTTTATTTGTAGATTGTTTTGCATGTTATTTATACAATATCCATGAATATTAAATAAACGAATAGCCTCCATCTAAAAAGATTCTTAAGCCTATTATTAAAAATATGTTTTGATGATGAATAGGAAGAATGGATACGGAATAGAGAAATGTTTTTTTTATGATTTAATCAACTGTCCTATGGCAGGACGTTGCTTTCCCATCGTGAACTTTAGATTACAGCCTCAGCAGCAGGATCGGACATGGATGGTCTGATCTCGAGGTTTAAATTGCTCACTGCTGCAGATGCACCTGTGAGCAAGTCTTGCTTAAATCTAACTACCCTGGACGGTGCACAGACCAAGTCCAAGACCGATTGGATTTGCGCAGGTCTACCTAATCTCAAACACCTATTAACGAAAAACACAATGACTGAAGAAATGAAGTGTGTCAGTAAAACCTGTGTCGTGTGTTTTGGACCTCCCTTCAAAAGGCTCAAACCAGAAGTCCAGTCTTAGCTTCAGTCATTTCTCAGCAGCAACCAGAAAGCAAGAACCTGACAAATCATTGAGAAAAGAAAAATGATTAGGATGAACAACAAATTAAAAACAAAGGAAGTTTTGTAAAATGCTGAAATGGTAAATTCTGTAGTAAAATACTGTCTTTAAAAATTAATAAAAGAATCTTTGCTTGATTGTGATCATTACCCCCCCACACCTCCACCTCATCCAGATTAAATAAAATCACCCCCCCCGACTTTATTTTACAACTCAACTATTAAGAGAAAGGTATAGAATATTAGAACATAAATTAGCATTTTATAAATATTATTATTAGTATAAAAGTAGTATTGTATAAACAGAACATTGCAGTCTAGAATTGAGGAGATGTCTGAGGAGGATGTTGTAGGGTACCTATGTTTGTTGGAGCTAAGGACTAGGACTTCTTAGGTATAAACAGTACGTTATACATGTTACATGTATTAATCTTATACCATCATATAATGATGAAAAAAAAAATAAATATATATATATATATGTATATATATATATATAGGCTTATATATATATATATATACACTGAGGTAATGTAGGTTACTCAAGGGTGTTTATAGGAGTCCTTACTGGGTGCCTATGAAATAATCTCTGAGGTAATTTTAGGGGTTTTGAGGTTAGACGTCTAGAGGTTACTTTATAATTTTATTTTTTTTCATGGTGTTTGAGCATTCTATAACTACATGTAATATTTCTGCTTACTTTGGGTAGAGTTGATCTGATTGACCTGAATAGACAGAGTGATTTTATTATTTTTAGGTGACTCGATGGATGTTTCAATGTGTCCAGATGTTACTATCTCTGTCTGTTACATGCATATCATTTTTTGACCTTGTTTTGTTGTTGCTATCTACCTCCAGGAGTTTTCACTGCCCCAGTTAAAGGACTCTACTACTTCCAGTTCACCGGAGTTGTTGGCAAATCTGGGAAACTGAATGCTGGACTGAAGGTGAACGGTTTGAACACTATTGCAATATACCACAAAGCAGGGACACAAGCAAGCGCTACCAATGCGGTGGCCCTGGAGCTGGAGGAGGGAGACCGAGTCTTTACCCAGATCTGGGGAGGAAGGTCCCTTACGCTCGCAGATCAAGGCCGACTCACAACCTTCACTGGCTTCCTTGTCTTCCCTCTCTGAGTGGATACAAAGATGAAGATTTATGTCCAAAGGTTGGCAGAAGTGGAGAAGGAATCATTTGTGGCAATTATACAGAACCGTGGAACAATCAAGTTAATCACAATCACTGACATCTCTTTATAGGTTCTTGTAACTAAGCTAAAGGCTACAAGCATTAAAACTAATAAAAAAAATGCAAACTTTGTATGTTTGTTGTGTTGGTTTTTTGTGTTGTGATAATCTTCATAAATGTTCTTCCAAAAGTCCTCAGACAGCTCCTTGGATCTTACTTTTACTCAAGTTCACCAGAACAAAGCCCAGTGAGTGTAGTAGTGGTAGTTTGTTTTCTTTTTCAGTTTCACTGTTCGTCCACCAGATGGTGCCATCTGGTTACTCCTGTCTTGAAGGGCTTGCCTACACGTCTCAACTACCCACACCTGCAACAAATCATTTATCACCTCAGAGGAGTATATGAGCAGCTGACTGTCATCACCTCTTCGCCAGTGTTTGCTTGTTTTGGGAATCCTTCAGATCCTCTGGGATTTTTCGAGTCCTTCCAGCCTTGGAGGAAAACCTTTCGAGATGCCAAGGGTTCCACAACTCCTCTCTTCTGAGCTCAGACTTCATCATAGTTTCCTGTTGACAGTCTGCTCAGCCGCTCCTCTGTGCTTCCATAAACTTACCTGTCCGCCCTCCAACGTCACGTCCACCTTCAACCAGCCAAGGCCCCCACAACTGGAACTACATACCACCCTCCAATCCTGGCAGCTAGTTCAATCACACCTGGAGACCTGGCCGCCGGTCCCACCTAGCAGTGTTAACCAGACTCCTGTGTTTTTTTTTTGTTTTTTTATTGAAAATAAACGTTCAAACTTTTACATTCTCTCTGTGAGTGTTTCTGCATGTGGGCAAAAACTATGCTGTGACATCATATTAAATTAATAATGGCCTAAAGGACATCTTGGATTTGGTGTGGAGGTCTATGTCGCTGTTTAGAGGTTAGTGATGCTGTAAGTCTGACTGCGGCTCCTTCTCTGTCAGACGACATGTTTGGGCCAAAGTCTGCCTCAAGTTTTTGATGATATTGCATTTTTTCAATATAACTTGTTATTTTTACATTCTTTTTGCTTTTAGAAATTTTAGCTGCTTATGTGTAACGTTTATTAAAAAAATATTTTTATCTTTAATGTTATCAATATTTTTATATATGAATCACTATTATTAATACTATCGACTACATTGCTTAGAACTTTATCAGTCTTTTTGGCCATTGTTAAACTGACAGTAGAATTTACACAATTAAAGGAGGTGAATGAACCTATTTCCATTTCTTTTCCATTGCTCACTCATATTTCACTCAGAATAAAGGTCCAGAGACTAAGATGGAGATGAAGGTTTATTTTATGTCAGGAATGCATTGCTGTGCTGATTCAGCCATATGTTTTGGATTGCATTTTACCTAAAAAAACACTCAGTGGTGATCAATTCATAGGTTCCTAGCAGAGCCCAGGTAATGTTTATTCAATATCTCATTCGATTTAATAGAGCTTATAGAAGGCCTTTGGAAGAAAACCAGGACCAGGCTGCAATAGGTTTCTCAAATTCATCTGTATAAAATAGACCAGTGGGATCTTTTATTTATTATCTACTGGAGAAAAGCATCTGGCATGTAGATGTTTCATTTATTTATGATTGCAGTGGAGACCTGGGTCATGGTGAGGGGTTGGGTATGTTTAGGGGTGACAGTGCCCCTGGATGAAGGGATTTTCCCTGCAACTGAAGGTTTAAACCAAAGCTCTGGCTTTCAGGAGAAAGGTGTGGAGGTGTCCTACTGGTTAGTGCATAGAGCTTAGAATCAAGCCCCACAGTTGCCACTCAGGGTCGTTGAGCTAGACCCTTAACCCCAGACTGCTCCTTGGGTACAATGGCTGGCAGCCCAAACAATAAAACTATAAATTCTTTTATTTTAGGGGAGTGTTGGCCTAGTGGTTAGAGCAGTGCTCTGTGCTCTGAGAGGGTTGCACGTACCCAGATCGATTCCCACAGACTTCACTCTGGGTTCCTGAGCAAGACCCTTTATCCCACACTGCTCCCCAGGCGCCGCACAATGGCAGCCCACTGCTCCCCAAGGGGAGGGGTTAATTGCAGGAATTTGTCCATTCATTAAAGTTCTATTTCTATTTCAAACTTGTGTCCTTGGGAAAGACCCTTTTCCTGCATTGCCTACTGATGTTGGTCAGAGGGAATTACCTGGGCTACAAAGATTTCATTACACATAGACTCAATTCTCTTAACTTCTAGTCCCTAGTCTGGAAGGGAACCTGTATTTATCCTACCGCCATGCAGTGTGAGGAACACGGTTTACAAAGTCAAGTCACAACGAATCTACTTGATAAAAATTTGCTACAGAAAAAGGGTATATTTTAAGATAATTGATTACCTATTAACATTAGGGTGCTTTTATTTTAGTAATTCTATTTACTCAATTCAGGTTTTCAATTTAATGAAACACATATTGATTCGATACAGACCCATATTTTCAAGCCTTTCTATCTGAAAATTACAATAATTTGCTACTTAATGGAAACGCTGCAAAATTGACAGGAATAGAGGTTGCTTCAAAACTTCTGCATTGTGCAAAAAGCAACACTTTAAAGTTAAAAGTTTTCCCACTTTTATTAAACACTTTCCATGTTATTTGAAGTCAGACAATCAATCTGTACTTTCTACTGTAGAGCTTCTCTTCCAGTCATCTCCAGGCTTATGGAAACATGCTGAACATACTGAGTCTGTCAGGCGCTCTGCCCATACTGCAGTGCAGCTGTCAGTCATCATGTCATCGATTGGTTCCTTGGCCGTAGAAAATACTGCTCCGCATGAGGGGATTAAAATAAAACTGTGTTCAGTCAGCCAGACGGCATAGAGTACAACCTTAGTGTATCAGATGCGTGTTTTACATGCTTCTGAGTTTATATGGGTCAGATTTTCCACAAAGTCTGTGATGGGGATCCAGAATTCAGAGAAAATAAAGCTTCTCAATCTTTCTTTCTATTAAGTCCCCTGCCAGATGTGCTGCAAACCTTGCATGCACATTTGAGTTTGTTTTTGCATCCATCATTTACACATGCGTGTCCATGACACATCCAAGCATTTGCACTCGGCCACCAAGTGACACTTCCATATAATAATGGCTTTGGTTATTCTGTGCTTTATCCTTAATAAATGTTTTTTATATATAAACCTTCATTCTTTGTTATAATACTGAGCAGGTCATAACACTTATGCACACACTTTTAATCTAATCATCATATTTCTTTGATTTAATGCTACAGGTAATAAGGAAGTCACATTCCAAGTCCTCCCATTCCAAGTCCTCCTTTGCAAGTCCTCCCATTCCAAGTCCTCCTTTTCCAAGTCACATTCCACATCCTCCCATTCCACATCCTCCCATTCCAAGGCCTTCCTTTGCAAGGCCTCCCATTCCAAGTCCTCTCATTCCAAGTCCTCCCATTCCAAGGCCTTCCTTTGCAAGGCCTCCCATTCCAAGTCCTCTCATTCCAAGTCCTCCCATTCCAAGGCCTTCCTTTGCAAGTCCTTCCATTCCAAGTCCTCCCTTTCCAAGTCCTCCCATTCCAAGTCCTCGTTAGAGGGACATTTATCAACAGTGAGACACTTTATCTGGTTTTCATTTAAATCATATGCTTTGTTCAGAGCTCTCCTGCAGAGATATCTCTTTCAAATGTGTTTGTTTTGCAGCGGTAAACAGGCTTATTATGTCTCCCTTTGATATTTCTGACTTCCTCTCAGCAACATCATTCAGTCCTCCAATGTGGATGACTAAGTACTGACTAAGTGCCATACTACAGCTAACATTCACTGGTTCTGTTTTTTTCTTCTTGCAGACTAATTTAATCTCATTCACTGCCAGGACTAGTGGATACTTGCTGAGGACCCAAATGCAGCTGAAGATGATTTCTGGCTAATTTAATGAGGAGGTAAAAAAACAGAAGCCATAATAAAACCTGAAAACTGATCAACAAAAAAACTCAAGAACATAAAAGTAGGAGACATTAGGGAGGAATAAATGTAAGGGATGCATGAATGAAGCAATGAAGAGAATCCATCAGTAACTGCAGCGGAGTAGAAATGCCAAACACAACAATGAATGGACTAATCAACTGATTGGGAGCAGGCATGGACAGAAGGATCTAGAAGGGAGCTGGGGAAACGAGACTGGCACAAGGGGGCAGCAGAGAGTGAACAAGAAATACATAAGAACTCAAATACAACCAGAAAACAACTAGAATGATATGAAATGGAAATGAAACCAAGGAAATAGAAAACATGGAATGATATAAATCAACATTATCTGAAAACCCAAAAAGAAAACCTATCATGACATTCACTGCATCGTCGATTACTATAAATGTTCTAAGCTCAGCAGGTGGTTTATTATGAGGCTGTTTGAGGGAGACCTGAATGTCCTCATACCTTCCTCCATTGTCTAGAAACAAGCTGTTCTCCTCAGGGTCATTCTTTTAAAGCAGTAAACCTGTTTTTCACTCATCTCAGTTTGTCCTTCCTTATCCGTTGTTTTGGAACAAACGGCTTTGTGCAACTTTCGATGGTTAGAGTAGAATACATGTTGCTCTAAAGTCTCAGGCAGGTTTTATCATCTAGATGTGGTGTCAGATTGTTTGTTCTTTGGGGCTTTGCTCCAAGAGTTTCCCAGGAAGGACTAACAGTCTGGTTTTTGTCATTAGAATCATTTCCTCGTTTCTTGGTTCCCTTGGTTAGTTGCTGTTCAACATGTTGCTGTTTAAAATCGCTGTTGGGGTTATCTCAGTGTTTTGAGACACCATCAGGGTCAACACTGGCAGGGTCATATCATTTCCATAACCAGCATGGGGTGTGGATTTATTTTGTTACAAACATCCAGTGAACATTTCATCTCAATAGCACCTCTAGAAATATACAGCTCCTTCTCACAATATTAGCATATTGTAATAAAGTTCATTATTTTCCATAATATAATGATAAGACTTGGACATTCATTGATTCATTGCACCAAACTGGTTGTCCTGACTGGTTAGACTTGGTCTCCTCCCAGTCTGCTTTAGCATCACCATCTGATGACTCGCTACTCGTGTCTCCATTCTGAGGGTTGATGTCTCGCTCATTAAGACCTTAAGATGCTCTTACTCACA